GTATTTTTATAAAAGAAGTTTAAAAAGAGAGACACACAGAGAGAGGACTTTTTCCCAAAAGGGTCTTCATGTCCTGATTCATCCCTAATCTCCACCAACCCGGTTTATATACATGTTGGATTGCTCCGGGAGGTCCCAGGATGCAAACCCAGGACAGTTCCCATGTGAATTCAGTTGTAGTACCACTTTGCCACCACCTGGCTGCTCTCGAGCTTTTATAAACTACTTTATCTATCAAGACTCTGTTGAAGCTTGTGGATCTTTTCCTTATACACACACACATACATTTACAAACCATTTTTAGGAGATATGTTAGTTTTTATTTATTTATTTATTTATTTATTTATTTATTTATAGAGTTGTTTTTTTGTTTTTTTTTTTTTTGCTATAGGGTGCGTGTGCTCGCCAGGAAGACAGAGAGAGACAGAGAGACAGAAAGCGAGAAATCATCCCCCCCCAGGGGGGATGGCCACACCACAATCCCTTCTCCTCCATTCTCCTCTCAGGATCTTGGGCACGCACGCACACGCGCCTGGCGTGAGTTTAAGCCACCGGGTCCAGGACTCGAACCGCAGTCGACTACATGGGAGTCCAGCAACATAGCCATTATGCCAACTGCTGGTCCCAGAGATGTATTAGTTTTCTATTGCTGTGATAGCAAATCCTCACAGAAGTAGTGGCTTAAAACAACAAAATTTAGTCTACAGTTTTGGAGGTTAGAACCTGGACGTGGGTCTCAGTGGACTACATTCAAGGGATCACAGGGCTGCATTCCTTTTCGGAGGTTCCAGGAGATCATCATACTTTTGCCTTTTCTGGGTTCTGGAAGCTGCCTGTATTCTTGGCTAGTGGATCCCTTCCTTCATTTTCAAAGCCAGTGATGTAGCCTCTCTCGGTCCTGCTGACTCTCATACCTCTTTCTCTGACTACAGCGGAAGAGTTCTCTGCTTCTAAGGGTTCACGGGATTAGATGGGACTCACTCATGGGATCGGCAGATGGTGTAATGGTTACGTTGCTGGACTCCCACGTAGTCGGACCCCGGACCCCGTGGCTTAAAACTCATGCTAGGCGTGTATGCATGCATGCCTAAAATCCCAAGAGGAGAATGGAGGAGAAGGGATTGTGGCATGGCCATTCCCCCCTGGGGGGTGATTTTTTTGCTTTCTGTCTCTCTGTGTCTCTCCAGTGAGTGTATGTGCCTCACACAAAAAATTCTTTCCCTCTCAAAAAAAAAAAAAAAAAAAAAAAAGATGAGACCCACTCAGATACTCCAGGAAGACCTCCCCATCTTAAGGTCTTTAGTGTTAACCACATTTTTTTTCTTTATCTTTTTTTTGAGAGAGGTTTTTGCTATAGGGTGCGTGCGCTCACCAGAAAGACGGAGAGACAGAAAGTGAGAAATCACCCCCCCAGGGGGGATGGCCATGCCGCAATCCCTTCTCCTCCATTCTCCTCTTGGGATCTTGGGCACGCACGCACACGCGCCCAGTGTGAGTTTAAGACACTGAGTCTGGGACTTGAACCATAGTCGACTACGTGGGAGTCCAGCAACATAGCCCTTATGCCAACTGCTGGTCCCGTGTTAATCACATTTTCAAACATGCTGTTTAAGGGAGCACACGCACAGGCCCCAGGCATTAGGATGTGGACATCCTGAAGGGGGTGCGGGTCACAGAACTCTGAAGCTCCACAGAGCATGTGTGCCCCCGGGGAGAGGAGCGTCTATTCTAGATAGGATTCGTTCTAGAAGCTGAGTCAGTCCAGAATTCTACTTGGCTGCAAATAAGAGAGTCCTGGAAAGGAGCGGCTCCTATAAGTTTCCTTTCTCTCATGTCGTGAGATCCTGAAGAAGGCAGCCCAGGTCAGGACAGCAGTTCCAGGATACCAGCGTGGACGACTCTGCAACTCCTCCGGTTTTTCTCAGTATGGCTCCTGCAACTCCAGCTATGACTTGCATGGTCCAGGTAAGGGGGGAGGCTATAGGATGAAAGTCACGTGCCAGTGGAGTCAGTTTTCTTAAACAATTCTCCCAGAGGGCCAACCTATGGCATGGCGGTTAAGGCAGCTGAATCCCACCTAGCTGACTACACTTTTCTTTCTTTCTTTTTTTTTTTTTTTAGAGGTTTTTGCTATAGGGCGCTTGTGCTCGCCAGAAAGACAGAGAGAGACAGAGATAGAAAGCGAGAAATCACCCCCCAGGGGAGATGGCCACGCTGCAATCCCTTCTCCATTCTCCTCTCGGGATCTTGGGCGGGCACAAACACACCTGCCCCACAGTGATTTTTTTCAAGCCACAGGGTCTGGGACTCAAACTGAGGTTGACTATATGGGAGTTCAGCGCCGTAACTACAGCGCCACCTTCTGGCCATCTTTTAAAAATATGTAAGCCTCTGTCTATGTCTGCTACTGAGCTGGGTTGTGGGGAAGACCAAGATGCTCTTTTCTGTCTGCAGAGTCTCAGCACTTATGTGGAGGAACAGAGAGCCAGAAAATGATTAAAATATCATCAGGGTTGAGACAGAGGCACGTGAGCCCTGCTGGGGCAGCCGGGGACATGGGCTGGCTTTGCAGTGCGGTGGGTAAGTGCTGTGGGTAGAAAGCAGGATCCGGCATGGCCTACTGGCTGGACTCCTGGCCCCGGCGTTTGCATGGGCACCCCAAATCCTGATGGGATGGAGAAGCAGAGGCATGAACGTGGTGTGACCATGTCCCATCGGAGGTGTTCTCTTCTATCCCACAGCCTCCACCTTGTGCGGCATGTACCCACAGACCGAAAAAAAAAAAAGTTAAAAAAAGAGAACTGGTACAGAAAGGGTGGGGTGAGATCTGGGCTGGAGGACAGGGATGGATGGGATTCTGCCGGTTGGAGCAGAGGGCTGGGACATTCCTGGACTTGCACGGATGGGAGTGGAAACTGTTTGCGAACGCAGAAGCTGTGTGGTTGCAGTGCGGGGTTTGTGGGAGTGAGCAGGTCGGGGGTGTAAGATGGGGGGGGCAGTGCAGACAGCCTCTCGCTGAAGTCACCCTGGGGCACTCTGGCTCCAACCTGTGGGCAGAAGGGGGCCAAAAAGACGTTTTTAACCATTATTTAAACTCGGCTGGAGAATGACAAAGTGGAAAGAAAAGTGCACAGGAAGAGACATCACAATAGTTTGGTCAGATTTCATAAAGCTAAGGAGTTCAGTTGAAATCTTAAATTTGAGTCGTCAAATTCATACAGTCAGGTAGAATGGTGGTTGCCAGGAGCTGGGGCGGGGAGGGGGGTGCGAGGCGTTATTGTTTAATGGTTATAAAATGTGTTTTGCAAGATGAAAACGTTTCGGAGGTCGGTGGTGGTGGCAATTGCACAAGTGCATGTACTTAACACCCTGGAACGCACAGTTAGAGACGGTTCAGCTATAAACTTCCTTCTGACTCGTCCATCACTAAACACACGTGCGTGCACTACCAGGCCCGACCCCAGAGCTGATTCAGCTGGTCTGAGCAGGGCCTGAGGGGTCAGCATGTGTGCCAACTTCCCAGGTGCTGTTGAAGCTGCAGGTGCAACCGGGAGACCCCACTGGGAATCACTGGCGTGGAGACTACGTGGCTATTGGCGTCATGCGCAACAGCTGGCGGTTGCCTTGCACAGGTTAGCTCACAGCTGGGTGCAGGGGCACCTGATGGGCGTGCTTAGAATATAAACTCGCCCTTCAGCCGGCGCGCTCTGGTCCTGGATGCGAGGGAGATGGAAAGGAAGGAGAGACAGTCCCAGCAAGGCGGACAGAGCTAGCCTGGGTGGAAGGGATGGAGGTCGCCTCCAGGGTGGCAGGCGCCCTGGCGCCCTGGGAGATGGGGCACCCCAGCGGGGTCCCGACACCTTCCGGCCGGGAGGTGCGCGGGGGGCTCGCGGCCTGCAGGGGGCGCTGGCGCGCTGTCCCACCGCCGGCTGCCGGG